TTCATATTTGAAGATCAAAATTAGCTGGAAACCAAGGAGCTGAAAGCGAGTTCCACGAGCGAGTACTACGACAAAAGAAACTGTTAACATAGAGCTTATGGTTACATCAACTCTAAATAAATGAGACCTTGTGGCCATTCTAGTACTACGCTTAGATTCATAAAGTCCAGGTACCATAAGGAAGAGCTTACCCGAACAATTATCATGAAATATTTATAGAAAACACACAGAGAAACTACATTACGGCTGTGGGAAAGAGAGTGAAGCCGAGATGCCAGTTCAGAACCATTTGTATTGCTGATTTCTCTTTGGATTTTATCAAGAATTTCCAAATATATTGCAAGAACACCAGACGATATGTGGCAGAAATAGACAAACGATAGACGAGTGGGAGACTTTTACATATGTAAGATAGATTCTGGAGAGAAAAATTGTCTCGAACGACATGATGAAGTAAGTTTTTTATCAGCAAACCTAGCAATGTATACAATATAGTCTTTCCAGCCGATAATGTTAGGCGGAGAAGGCGCAATTCGTTACTCCCCTGGAGGTTAGAATCAGCCATGATGATGGAATGCACAAAGTGATCACTTACGCCAATTTTATTTCTCTACTTATATATTTTGCATATATGAGCTAGATTATAAGTCGGTATATATGTTCTAGATGTATGTGTATTTCTTCTTAGGTGTTTTCCTGCTATTATATGCTTGTATATGTAAGGCACGCACACGTATATATATATATATATATATATATATATATATATATATATATATATATATATATATATATATATATATATGTGTGTGTGTGTGTGTGTGTGTGTGTATATATATATATATATATATATATATATATATATATATATATATATATATGTAATATATTGTATATATTTTATTATTTATATATTATATGCGCGGTACTTATTAGAAAGCACTCAATATCAGAGATAGAGCTAACATATTGGGTTGGATTGATGTGAGTTTGTGACCCTGGGTTTCATGCTTTAGCGATCGTCAGACAAACGATCTGACGATTGCAAAAGCGTGAAACCCAGGGTCACAAACTCACAGCAATCCAACCAAATATATATATATATATATATATATATGAGTATATAGGCATGTGTATATGCGCAGTGCATATATTATTAAACACGTACCGATGTGTATGCGTGTGTAGAATGGTGCTATGTCCTGCGGGCGAGTTATTTCATAAAACATACTGTTGAAAAGTATTCATTTTATGTATTTTTTTTTGTTTTTACCTGTTTTCTTCCATCATTATATTTAAAACTTCGTTAGATAATAAAATTAAACTTGACATTCGTATCAAATTTACAACCCTTGTCAAGGTATTATTATTTTTTACCCCGAACCCACACAATGTTCTGAAAACATTGAATTCAATTATAAAGATCTTTCTTTTCATTTTGGTTTTCAATTTTTTCCCGTTGTTCTTACATTGTTATAATATATATATATATATATATATATATATTAGATTCGTATCATATAGCCTCGTGTTTAACATTGTGACAAATTTTGTTTTTCATTAAATAATAAGGCTTGGATGAGAAACCGAGTGAAAGACACGAAACCTATTCATTTCTAATATTAATTTATCAGCGACTAAGTTTTTAGACGTTCTTTGTTTATAAGTATTCTTCACTATTCTTTTCATTTTTTAGCTATCGTTCTTTTTATATATTTCACAATCAATAGCACGGACTAAACACAATTTCTTTTTCTTCTTTGTCTTTTTCTATTGTAGTTCCTCCTATTTTTTCTTCGTCCTCATCAACGAAGATAATGGTTTTTTTGCAATTGCTATATTCTTTCTTTATTTCTTTATCATTATGCTTTACCTCTCTTTGAAACTTCTATACTATTATCATTACCTCTTTCTTTACTGCTATGTTTTCGAGGTCTCCTACTACTACCACCAAGACAGTCTTCCTACTTCCTCTATTTACCCCACGTCTCGTCCTCTTACTACTGCTAACAGTTCTCCTACTTCTTCTTCGTTTTTCTTGTCTTCTTAGATTTAGACATATTTTTTTAAATTTTAGATGGTTTCTTTTCTTCCATTGTCTTGCCTCGATTTTTTCCCTTTTTATTCGCATTTATTTTTTATTATTTTTTGATTCGTTTTTGTTTTTTGGTTACCAGACGGAGCAACACAAAAATTCATTCTCTATCTATTTGTTGATGGGATTCAACCATCTATTGCATATTTTACATACTTTCCTTCGTCACCTTTTTGCATTTTAAACAGCAACATACATTGAATACATCACTGAATGCAATTATAGTTTTCAGGTTTTTTTTCCTTTTCCCACCTTCCCACATTCATACAAAATTTTAGATGATCATAAACATTTTATTTATCAATGCTTCACAGACATATACAAATTTTCTTCAAAAAAATTTTATCAAATTTCTCCCGCCCTTTTTTTTTAAGAAGGAAATTCGTTTTCATTGAAAAACATTGATGGCATTTGTCCCTAATTGCCGAAGTGTCGAACAGGGAATATGCAGAGTTAAATACTTGCCCCAGTGGATAGCATCGAGAAAGGGCCCCAGGGAAAAGCAATGGCTAAACTTTTTGGACGTGGATGTCAAGTTACGAACTAAAGGAAGCCATTTTTTATTGAATAAAAACATAATTGCATACGCGCATGCGCACAGGCATACATAAATATTTAAAAACATATTCACGTAAAAAAATGCGTACAACTATGCAATTCCATGCAATTGTACATAAATACATACAAACATAAGTATATTTCATGGTTACATGCATAAATCGGTGTATTTGGATTCTTTATATATATATATATATATATATATATATATATATATATATATATATATATCACATGTATTTACAAAACAAATTCCTACCGAAGTGAATCAGTAAAAATTGTTCATATCTGTCTATCTCACTCCGTTCCTATATATCTATCTACCTATTTCTAAAGAAGTAATTTATATATATATATATATATATATATATATATATATATATATATATATATATATTTTTGTGTGTGTGTGTGTATGAATATAAAGACACACACATCCATGTATATATATATTTACAAAAGAAATTCCTACCAAAGTGAATTAGTGACTAACGTTCATATCCTAAAATAATTATCTATCCGTCTATCTCATTCTGTTCATATCTATCTATCTATCTATCTATCTATCTATCTATCTATGTCTTTCATATCTATCTATCTATCTATCTATCTATCTATGTCTTTTCATATCTATCTATCTATCTATCTATCTATCTATCTATGTCTTTTCATATCTATCTATTTATCTATCTATCTATGTCTTTTTATATCTATCTATCTATCTATATCTTTTCATATCTATCTATCTATCTATCTATCTATCTATCTATCTATCTGTCTGTCTGTCTGTCTGAGACTGTTCCTTATTTATCTAACTAGCTAGCTATCTAACTTTCTATCTCAGACTGTTTATTATCTATCTATCTATCTATCTATCTATCTATCTATCTATCTATCTATCTATCTATCTATCTATCTATCTTAGTCTGTATCTATCTATGTATTATAAATTTGCTAATTTAAAAATGTTTCCATCGCTACAAAGGAATTACCATGTTTCAAAAACAGAAACTAAAAACTTCAAATTCACCGGATTATATATCTTAATGTTCTTTCTCTTTATTGTAATATATCGATCTATGTATCTATCTCAGTCTGTTCATATTTATCTATTAATATGCCTATGTGTATCTATGTATCTCAATTTGTTCATATTTATGTATTTATCTACCTACCGACCTATCAGTCAGCTCATATCTATCTCTTCATATATATATATATATATATATTTTATTAAAAAGACATTTTTATTTATGTTTAACGTTGTTATTTTATAGATACAAGTATTTAAGCAAATGCTCTGTTTATACTTAAATACTTGTATCTATAAAATAACAACGTTAAACATAAATAAAAATGTCTTTAATAAATAAATTGTCGGACCTCGTCCATTTCTTAACATATATATATATATATATATATATATTCTTAATATCCATACACACACACACACACACACACACACACACACACATATATATATATATATATATATATATATATATATATATATAATGTTAGCAGCTCGGAACGAGAAAACAACGAGCAGATTTCGAATTCCAGTCCACGTTCTTTGTATTCACAAATCTCTTGCGGAAGGTGTAAATCTATCGCTTCTTTCTCCAGGTATGGGTTAAAGAGTCAAGCAAACTGTGCTCTCTAGCCTAAGAGAAGAACAACATTGAATTCAAATTCAGCAAACTTGAAACTCCATGCCGCAAAACACGGAGTGTCAAAAGGACAGTTTTCCCTTGGATACCGCTTTTATTTTAATTACCTTCACTCCTCGGCAATGTTTATTGCCTTAAAAAGTGACCATTAGAATTGTAATAAAACTTATGAATTATGAATTAATTATGTATGTGGATTTGTACATTTTTTTCCTGTTCTTGAGAATTGATAACAAAAATAATACAAACTATTTATTTATCTATACTTGTTATTTATTATACTATTTATTGGAATGGTTGAAGAACATCGGCCAATTGCTAAGAATTCCTTTATAGTTGGGTCGCATATTTCAATAATTTGGTAAATATTTCTAAATTTATGGACATTTTTTTTCATATTTATTTCTTCATAAATTGGTAAATGATAAATATTGCATTGCATTAATTTTACTTTTATTAGTTTTTTGAATGTTGTAAATATAAAATTATTCTTGTTGGACGTTTTCTTGAGACTTGTGCTAATTTATATCTTGCAGGTACTAAGCTGAACTTAGTAACTGCAATGTAAACAATAGTCTTTCAAAGGATTTTTTATCCGAAATAATTTCTTATTACTATAAACGTTATTTTTAGTGAGTTGATATCCGTTTTTTATTAGTAACAAATACATCTATCCACTAAAACAACACATAGATAGATAGATAGATAGATAGATAGATAGATAGATAGATAGATAGATAGATATAGATATATAGTACCACACCATAAAAGACAAAACAAAATAAGAATATATATAACGTAAAGCGCTTTTAGATTGACACTGCGTCAGAAGTCAAACGCCGCTATTAAAACATTACTGAATGGGTGTTTTTTTTTCTTTGCTTTTTTTGTTTTTCTTTTGCTGGCTTCTGAAGATACACAATTTATCCAGCGTCGCTTCCATTCATGGGAGAGGTCCTGGAAACACTTTTTGCGAGATAGCGAGCAGTTCGCATTCTCTTGGTACTAGACGTTTTGAAATCTTGTTTCTTTAAGGTGGCATTTGATATTTTGAAAGAGGAAAAAGTTGCAAGGGGCGAGATTTGGGGGGAATAGGATAGTTGTCAAACTTGGGGGATGATGTACTCGACCCCAAACTGTTGCACAATCCATGGTTACTGAGGGAATCTCTGTCATGTGGTGAGATGAACACACTCTACACATCTTTCTTTCAAGTACTGTTATAAACAAAGGAAGTGAGCGAGAACGTTATTACTTCCGTGACAGTGTTCAAGCCCAATTTGTGCCAAGCAGATTGATTTGTGTACTTTGGCTATGTTACAATAACAACAGCCCCGATATATTTTGATCTGAACTCGTATATCCAAAGTGGGAAATTCACGGGAACAAAAAGAAATTTAGAAAATAGATGTCTTCTTGAAACTTTTTATATAGACATTTTAGCGAGTTTTATTTTATACTAATATTTGCACAATAAAAATCTCAAGATAGAATTAAATATAATGGATTTATGCAGGAAAAAATAATCTTAGGCTTCAAGAGGTCAAGATTCTAGTGATTCAGAAAGCATCCTTTGTTTGTTTCTCTTTTTTTCATCAAATTCACGTCAAGCAAGGCAGTAAAGCCACTAACACACAAGGGTTTACTGGGTTTGAAAGAATTAGAAAACAGAAACATTACGAAGGAGCGAGAACAATAGAAGAATAATCAGGATGACAGTAAATAACGATTGACATTGCATTTAAACTTTTGAAGATAAAAGATGCCTGGAAATCATGGAACTGGAAGAAAGTTCGACAAGCGATAAAAGAAACTGTTATCATAAAACTTACGGTTACCGGATTGCAAATTTAATTATGAATTGATGAGACCTTATTGCCAATCTAGTAATGCGCTTAAATTCATAAAGTCTAGGTACCATAGTGAAGATCTCATCCGAACAATTAACATGAAAGTATTTATAGATAAGGCAAAGGGAATCTGCATATGGCGGAGGGAAGCTGACTGAAGCCTAAAAGCCAGGTCAGTACCAGTAATATTGCTGATTTTTATCACGCATTTCTAAATATATAGCAGTAGCACCGGTCCTGGCGAATATCTGTTCCACAAAGCAACAGTTATTAGGAAGAATCTGTGTGAGTGGAATACGAAATGAATGAGGATGATTCACGTGTACGTGGCATAGAGGGTCCCATTTGAAAAGTTCATGGTTGTTGGGACTAAAGAATAAAACTTTTCCGAACATATGCCATGGAAATAGCGATAGAGTAGCGATATGCTCGCGACGTTTCGTCTGTGTGAGAGGTAATATAGGGTTGATAATAGAAAATAATTAATCACCCACAAGGCAGGATGCAAGAAAAATGGTAGGTTCCCTGTACCACTCGAGAAAGTACCTGACTCCTCGTGCTATCCTCTACCTTTATAAGAACTAAATCAGGTCTAAAATGGACTACTGTACAGTCCTCACTTTCCAGTTCCGATAGAGTTCAAAAGCGTTTTCAGAGTCCTTGGAAGTGACAAATTATTTTCCACCTTCTAATCTCTCTCTCAAGTTCCTCACTGCTCTATCGCTATTTCCATGGAAAGTGTTCGGAAAAACTGCATTCCTTGTTTCCACCAGTGTTATCTTTCACGCTAATGACCCACCATGCGATTCACGTCATAGCAAACCGACCTAATTTCCTTTGTATTTTTATTGTATTCTTGTATTCTTTGTATTTTCCTTTGTATTGCTTCTTCTCGCAGACCACTGCTATGTGGAACCGACTCTCGGTTACTACAATCTTAACCTATTCATGTTTAGAGTTAACTGTTATCTTCTCCTATCCACATAAACTGCCTTTTACTGTAACCTTCTACTTCAAGTGTCCCGCTGGCCTTATGCAAGGGGAACATCGCTGTAAAAAAAAAGTGAAGACTGGACACCTCTATACTCTTCTAAAGAGAGAACATAACAGAGGGAGTCAGATACTTACTGAACCGGTCCAAAGAACTGACCATTTTTCCAACATCTTTAGCAATAGATCGTATATATAAGTTCAACTTGAGGTTTGGGGAGAGTTTGAGTGCCAAAAGCGGTTCAAGACAAGGAGCCTTCTTGAGAAAAGACACATCCCTGAGGATAGGTCAATGTTCGGGTTGGCGGTGGAATGTTACTAGTTTGGTTTTGGCCGTATTGAATTTTAAAGCCGGTTTATTGAGCCACTTAGAATAGATCAGAGGAGTAATAAGCTGCTAGGGTCTGGTCTTCAAGATTTTGGGAGGTGCGCCTAAAATGACTGTTCTGTCTGTATGACGAATATTCGATTTCTTATAAAAGAAACTATATAATTTTATGTTAACTTTCTTTTAGAAGAGTCAAGTTCAGACATCACTCAGGATTTCAATTTAGACTGAGATGTGTCAAAATGAAATAATGATCGTTTACATGCGTTAAAATTAGTTTTAGTTTTGTTCGCCCAGTTTCCTAATAATGTTGTTGACTTGCTCAGTACGTAAAATGAACCTCAACCAGTGGGTCTTCTGTTTGAACGACTGAGCCAAAAAAATAAACTTTGCTCATTTCGTATTTATTGTTTGTGATTTCCGTTTTGTACTGTTTCATTTTTCATCTTTCAAATATTAACGTCCCTAACTGTTGATTAAAAGTTGAGCGCTTGGCCGAACGAGTGGGCAAGCCGTTGTGGGGTTTTGCGATTGGTCCGTTTGCTCAATATTCAAATCACGTATGCCGAAATGAAATTAGTCCATTATAGACAATATTCATAGAACCATGGCCAAAAACAATTGCCTTTCAAGAGATTTGCAAAAACAAAACAAAAATAATTGATGATTTTTTTTGTTTTTTTAGTTTTTTTTCGACATTGATAATAGTTTCCCTCTCCTGCACTTCCTTCTCCTCTTCTTCTTTGTTTTTGTTTGTTTTCTTTTGACTCCTTTCATCGTTTTAGTCTTTGTCTTCTTCTAGGGCTTCTTTTTTGCCTTCTTTTTCTCTTCGTCTTTGTCTTCTTCCACTTCTTCTCCTTCTTCTTCTTTTGCCTCTTATCTTATTCTTCTTTTGTCCCCTTGTTCCTTTCCCTCATGTATCTTCTTCTACTTCTTTTGTTTCTCATCTTTGTCTTCTTACAATTCTTCTTTTGCCTCTTATCTTATTCTTCTTTTGTCCCTTCTTCTTCTTCTTCTTCTTCTTCTTCTTCTTCGTCTACTACTACTACTACTACTACTACTACTACTACTTTTACAACTCTATCTTATAATTTTTTTCTTGTTGTAGTGTATGTTATTGTTATTATTATTGGTATTATTATTCTTTATCATGTAATTTTTCCGATAATTTTTCCCGTATCTATTTTGTACTCTCTTCATTTTGGCTATCCTCACACTTTATTCCCCCTCAGTTCTGGCCAGTACCCAAACTACGCTTATTTCGCTGTCTATTTGTTTCTCCCCAAATTCTTTCGCTATCCTAATTTTTTCGTTCTTTTATAGCCTTATTTCTTCCATTGTTATTATTAAATAAAGTAATTACTACAAAGACGAGCGTTCGTAAACAGCAGAAAAATGTCCGAATTTATGCGTAATAATAACTATCAACAGAGAGAAAAATATTTTTTCTAGGAGATGGCGGCTTGGAGGTAAAAAGCATTCAAAGGGGGAAAAGGGACAAGGAGCCTTGAAGCAGGAATAAAAACTTTTGCAAACGTGTTATGAATATGAAACGAAGGAATTTGCAATGACATTGGTTGAGGATACGAGAGAAGCAATGAATTGATGGCTATTTGTCTTAAGTGTGGCTGGTTTGGTGGTCAAATCCATAGATCGATAGAAATAGATAGATAGATAGATAGATAGATAGATAGATAGATAGATAGATAGATAGATAGATAGATAGATAGATGTGCAGTCAGGATGATATGAATAGACGCTGATAAGTCGATATGCTATAATAAATATCGACATTTAAGAGGGTTTAATAGCAATTGCATTGTTCCAAATTCATACAATATAAAGTCTGCATCAAATTGCTATTAATAAAGAAGTGTCAGTATATGTAATAATGACGGTTATATAGATAGATAGATAGATAGATAGATAGATAGATAGATAGATACGCAGAGTGAGATACGACTGGGGAAATAGCGAGAAAATGTTTTTTTCTGTTTTGTCTGGTTGAGTGCAATAATAAAGGTATCAAACTGACTAATAAAGATGCAACCAGGCTAGAAAAAGAAAATGGTAGAAAAGAAAAACTAAATAACTATGAAAATGATGAAAAAACAAACAAATCGATATACAAGTAAATAAACTCTTGAAAGCGAGAAATAATTGGAAACGCAAATTAAGATAATCTTGCAACTTGATTGAATCAACGTTTTTCAATTCATCAGTTCATGACCATCGTGTAAGTAACTTCACTTTATTGTTCAAATGTCAAATTCTATACGGATCAGACATCTTCCACAGCAAACACACTGGGGATTTATTCACGCTTTGTCTTTGCTTTGAACAGAACCAATCACTCTTTATTCTTCATTCATTTATGTTATTTCTAAGCTTATAAGAACTCAGCTGAGATTAGAAAAGTGTGGGCACATTAAGTCAAAATGAAACTCACATGACAGGAGAAACTACTGCTACAGAGCCAGTCGCTGTTTTCTCTCTGTTTCTCTATATTTGTTCATATATACCGGGTGTAAATATTTTCCAAGTCATGTAACAACAAAATTTTCCAATTGTGAGATTAGCACTGAACCGTTATATCTTAGAAATGATTAAAGATATCTTACTGGAATTCTCCGATGTTTTTATAACACTATTGAACTCTACTTTGAGCAATAAGAATATATAATTACTCTCTAAGCTTAACAAATATCGTGATGAAATCGATCATAAACAAAAATGACATGTTCATCACTAATTAATCATAGATAAGGATCTGAAACTCATGAAGTATATTCCAGGATCATTTTCCAACATCTTCAAGACGATCTTCGCCCTCTCTAACCTTCTAACTTTCTATCCAGGAAAGTTTTATTAAAGACGACTGGCAAGGTACTGCGATTAAGTTTTTTTTTTTTTTTTTTTTTTGTTCGTATGTATTTTATTTTCTGGACATAAAGTGTGTAAAAATTGTACAAATATTCTATATATCCGAGCGCTTTCGGCTATTCTATTAGCCATTATCAAGGATTTTTTTTTTAACTGACTGTGCAGATTTTTATATATGTTTCTAGAGTGATTGAAATATGTTTTATTTTACAAAGACGGTCAGCACATTGTGGCCGTGTTCGTAGTTGATGTTACTGAGTGTTGGCTTTTGCTTTTTTATTATTAGTGCTTTCATTATTATTAGTCATTTTAAACATATCGATGAGGCTATTATAGCTGGATTTTCTACGGGTATGATACGGATGGAGGTTCTTAAGTTTCTGTCCGTGTTTAAATGAGTCCTAATTGAACTGTGAACAGAGAGCTGTAACATGAGACTTTTGATAGTCATGTAGTTGTATGTTCAATATAATTATTCATTAATTTACTTTGATCATGAACGCAGTTCCTTAAGGTACATGTGAATTCCTAAATAATAATGGTTCTCTGTAATTTAGATCTTGCAGAGAAGTTGTTGTTGTTGTTGTTGTTAAGGTTAACGGTTTTAAATTTTTATAGTCGATAATTCATTTAATTGACCTGCCCTGGTTGACTGGGATTGTGTATTTCTTTATAATGGTTCTGGCATTATTTTTATCTGTATGTTCAGTGTTGCCATTGATTACGTTAGAAAGAATTAGTCTAATTTGGTGATCTATGTCTTCGGAAGACTGTTATTAACTAGGTCTGTTTCGCGTTATTGAGTTCTTTAAGGAAAAGCGAACGAGAGGATGAATCTCTCGTGCGCTCTCTTGAAGAAGATTTTTATAACGCCTATATTATATTTATATGGATATTCACTGTTAAAATTAAAGTGGCAAGAGTTTCTACGAGTAGGTTTTTTGTATAACGAAATAATGAATGTTATTACTACATTCTACAAGAACCTCTAAGAATAGTATTTTTGACTAAGTTTATAGGTAGAGTTAAGGATGATTTTTTTCAAATGTAATTTTGGGATTACCACTTTCTTTTTTTTGTTTTGTTTTCAGCTAAAATAAAAAATATCATCTACATAGTAGACATCTATTTTGGGTTTTATAACTTTTTAAATACCTTGTTTTCTACACAAGCCATGTAGTAGTTGGAGAAGTACAGATCGATGTATCATACTAACAGCATTAATATAGGAATTACAAACTATATGAATATTGGTCGCAGAAGAGGACTTTATTTATGCAGGCATGCAATAATTTCTTGAGAATATTATGTTTGATGGATGGAGTGAAAACAAATTATGTTTATACACTGAGTTAAGGATGATATCGATTGTTTCATCAACAAGGACATTTATAAATAAATATTCTACATCAAGTGACGCTAAAATGCCTTGGTTTGGTTGTTTTATTTTAAAAATTTGGGAAAAATTCACGAGTATGCTATAATTTGAGTCAATTGCTTCGTCCACCGCAAGGAAAGTTGGCTCCCTGTGCCGCGCCATGAAATCTTTCTCCCCGGAATCGATCCTCCAGATCTACAACTCAACAATTCGCCCTTGCATGGAGTATTGCTGCCATATATGGTTTGGAGACCCTTCTGTTTGCCTCGGTGTTCTTGATAGGCTCCAGAGGCGGATATGCAATATAATTGGCCCTGATCTGGCATCTCGTCTACAGTCACTTTCTCACAGACGTGCCGTCTTCATGGAAATTGCTCCGAGGAGCTGCATTCGCTGGTTCCCAGACTTCATGAATTCAAGCGCCCTACGAAGCTGGCATCCCGTTCTCACCCTTTCACTGTCGAAACTCCTAAATGTAGCCGTCTCTTCTACTCCAATAGCTTTATATCTCGCACCTCTCGCCTGTGGAACTCCCTTCCCTATTCCAGTTTCCCTGAGAGCTATAATCTCCAGCTATTCAAATGTAATGTCAATCGGCATCTCCAGTTGCCTTGATCTATCCACTATCCTTCTCCTCATCCTTTCTTCTATCATTCCTATCTGATCTTGCTCCAAATTTTCTGTAACCCCTTGCGTCCTATTGGCTTCCCGCCTTGCTTGGGGTGAAACGCTTAAAAAAATGGTAGGTAGATATGGTGTAATGATATGATTGAGGAATTATGATAAATGGTAAATAGTAATCAATTATCCAAATTCCTCAATGATATCATTCCTACCTATCTATCTAGTACGGCTGAAATTTCGTAAAATTTACTCTTTGAGAAATCATCATTCACTACAATAAGTTAAATGGTATATTATTTTTCAAGTTACTCTTTTGGGCAGTTTAATCTTCTCAGTGTGTTAGCTGCATCCTTCAGATTCTAAATACATTTTCTATACAAGTCTTAGTGTGTAAATAATCAGAGAAAGAGAAAAAGCTATTAAAACTATGCGTCTTCAGGCTGGAATGATGGTCAAATCCATATGTAAGGAAAGTATCTTGAAATATGATGATGAAACAATAAAGTTTCTTATCAGATGCTACTACCAGAAAGTTCTTTTTCTTTCTCTCTTTCTTGTCGTTTTGAATCCGTTAACATCTGTATGATTTAAAATTAACCCACTCCGAGTAGAGCTTTTTTCTCTGTTTAACGACATTGTGCTTTTGCGATGATCGGAGATACTGTGTACGAGCCTTGGTCTGAGGTTGGGCGTAGAGAATTGTTAGAATATTGCAAAAGAAACTTTCTAGCCGTAGCATTTAATAAGGATCTTTATTACCTCTTCCTCATATTTCAACCCACTTTTCTTACCCATGGGTTCGTCTCTTATTCCGACCTGAAAACACTTACTATAAACAGGTGAAATGCGTAGACTTAATAGATTTGTCACGGTATCTCCATTTTTGTTCGGATATCCTTCTGCATCCTACTAACACCCAACTATTTCTGTGCATATATGTGTGGCGATGTTCTGCTTAACGTATCCGAGCCAACCTTCACCCGCAACAAACCACATCTAAACCTGGAACAGGATTGCTGTTAGGTAAAGCGCAATTAATTTTAATCCTAAATCAATGAACGTGTACATAATCGCTGCAATCGTTAACCTAGAAGATCATTGACGCAGACACACATACAAATCTAAACCCTGTTTCTCAGCTATGTGTACTGAAGCATATAAAATCTAGAACAATATGCTTGTTGTCCCAGTAAGGCAACGTAAAGATGCACCATCTCGCTCGTAGCACACTAAATACCAATTCAAAGATTGGTCGACTGACCAATAACTACAATTGACTTTATCCCAATCCTAAATAATACTCTCTTTAAAGACATCTTAAACATTAAAGGAAACTTCAGTAGTGTTTATAACATCATTCCACGCTGACGTTTATTCTGTGGTAAAAGACTAAAAGAATGTTGATTCTTTGGTGAAAAGGGATTAGAATGATTTCTCTTTCCAACAGCAACTTTAACAATAACTTCTGCTTGCTTTTCAAGCGTTGTTATTGGCCACCGCATATCCTAGATATGAAAACCGTTAACAGCTAAATCATTGTAAGAAGTGTAAACAACGGAAGTCAGCAGAATCTGCACCTAAAACAAAGATATCTCCGTTTTGTCATTACCAGACTGTATTGACTTATGGTTGTCATTTACTTTCCTTTCGCCTCGTTTACCCTTCGACGAACATCACCTCAAAGTGTCGGCTTCAAGGGTCGTGCCATAATCGACTGAGGTGGGAAATGGCGCGAACACGCTGACAAAGGTTAGCTATAAATCATTGATTTGGCGGGCTTGGTAAAGCAGCCCGAACCGACACTCAGACACTGTAGAGTATTTATGTGTCTTAATCAGACCAGGGCGGTAAATGGTTCTTTATTATTCTCTCTTTGTGCCTTTCTTTTTAATAGACTTCATTCATTCATTCATTCATTCATTCTTCTTCTTCTTCTTCTTCTTCTTCTTCTTCTTCTTCTTCTTCTTCTTCTTCTTCTTCTCATCCTACTCTTACATATTTTTCTTCTTCTCGTCCTCCTCTTCTACTTCTTCTTGTCCCACTCTTCTTTCTTTTTATTTTTCCTCACATACTCCTCCTCCTCCTGCTCTTCTTCTTCTTCTCTTTCTCCATCTTCCTACCATCGTCGTTCTTTTCTTCTCCCCATCCCTTTCCTCGTTTTTTTACTCATTCCTCTTCCTCTTTTTCGCATCCTTGATGTTCTTCTTTTTCTTCTTCTTACATTCATAATACTCCTACTCCTTCACCTTCTATTTCTTCATCTCACCCTACTCCTCTTCTTCTTTCTAACTTCCACCTCTTCCTTTACCTGCTACTAATCCTACTCCTTCATAGTCTTCTTTTTTCTATACTTTTCCTCTTTGACCTTCTTCTTTTTCCCATACTCCGCTTACTTTTTTTCTTCTTCTTCCTAACGTCCTCCTTTTCTTCTTCTTCTTCTTCTTCTTCTTCTTCTTCTTCTTAGCTTTTCTTTTTCTCTTCCCAGTTACTTCAACCTCTCTCCTCTTTTTATTCAATCTTTCTTTTCTCACTTTCCATCGTTCACATCCCTTCTAACCCTACTCTCTTCAAACACCCTCTCTATCTTTCTTCAATTCTTTCCCCCCCTCTTCCTCTCCATTTACCAAAACACACATTAAAATCTGACTTTTAGTTTTCCTTACAGATGCATTTACAACAATATTTGATATGTCTCTTATTCATACATTATTTCCGATTTCCCTTTCTTTTTGCGTTTCTTTCATTCTTATTTTCTTTCGCAGACATAAATATATACATGTCCGCATGCACACAGACGAATACACATACACGTACTTGTGATACAAATAGGCATGCAAACGCATAAACAATTTAAATTGCATTACAAATCAAAAGTAACAGTTTTACGTTTGTTGCTAAGCCGGGTATCGGTATACAGCAGTCACTGTGTTCAGCATTCGTTGAATAGAGCGAAATCAATGAAATAGCTTAATGCTATCATAATATAATTTGTTATCCAACGATAGGTGCGTGGCCAGTACGGATGGCCAAACAGGAAATTATTCTTGAATTTCATTGCAACATGTTCCAAGATTTCTTACGTAAGTTCCCGTCTTGGTTTCGATTAAGAGACTTCAACTCGGATTCATTTTGTCTTAATTTATCTGTTATTTGTTTTGCTAACAACGAGAAAAAATATAATTTTTCTTTAAAATATCTTTTTCCTTGCATAAAACAATTATTTCAGCGTTAAGTAACCGGTAATCGGTGTTAGCAAACAATAATTAAGCTTATTTATATATATATATATATATATATATATATATATATATATATATATATATATATTCAGTCCGTTCGTATTCAGCAGTTAGAGAAAATATGGAAATTTTATAAGCGTAGCTTAGATGTAGCACAAGGCCGAAAGTATGAGGTATTCAGCGAGGATTGAACTCACTACTTCGTCGTAATTGCTTTAGCTAATATATATTTAATAGCTCTGTTGTAATACATCGAGCACTGTTTCATTGACACCAGCACTATATGAGTGATATATATATATATATATATATATATATATATATATATATATATATATATATATATATATATATATATATATATATATATATATATATATATATATATATATATATATATATATATATATATATATATATATATATATAAAAAACAGACCACTTTAAGGTTAAGCCACTTATATATATATATATATATATATATATATATATATATATATATATACGTGGCTAATGGTTAGACTTGACATGGAAACAGTAGTATAAAAAGTGCTCAATACACGTGTTAAAAATAAAATAAAAAAATAAAATTAACATGTGGAGCTTTTAACTTTACATGTTTATTTATTTTAGAAAAAATGTAGCGTTCATTAGTTTTTTATTTAGTTTTTTATTTTTTATTTTTAAATAAAGCGTTGGGAGGTCAATTGATAAACGAGACCGTAAAGTTGAAACCAAGGTAGCGGAGTCAACTTGTGATATATATATATATATATATATATATATATATATATATATATATATATATAAGTGCGCAGGTATGCAGAAAATAGAAAAGAACACGTCGGGTGCATAATCCGGACTTCCTTAGTATTTTTGTTTCTATATTTAAGAAGACAGTGCTCCATACAGAAGTAGAGCTTATATTGTAATATTTTTTTGTTTAACAAAAAAATACAAAAAATTTTGTTAAACAAAAAAATATTACAATACTATATATGTGCGTATGTATGTGCGTGTGTGTGTGTGTATGTGCGTGTATGTATGTGTGTGTGCGCGCGTGCGTGCGTGTGTGTGTGTGTGTGCGCGCGCGTATGTATGTGCGTGTGTGTGAATAAAGACAGAGGAAAATTTATCTTAGCCGACGTGTTTCGTCTTCTGGGGGATATTATCAAAGCAAAAACATTTCTTAATGTAGTCTCTCAGAGAAAGAAAATAATTTCGGCTAAAATATTTTTTGTCTTTATTCATATTGTCTTTTTACAGATATATTCTATTTAAAATCTTTATATATATATATATATATATATATATATATATATATATATATATATATATATATATATATATATGTATGTTTGGGTGTGTGTGTAGATTATTTATTCTTTGCTAACAATATTTTAATTATTAATATAATGCGATTTAACAATAATCATTGCCATACTCCTCTACGGCAGTGAAACTTAAACACTCCTATCAGATGCAAGTGTTCTAAGAACAAACGCTTGAGAAATCTCTTCCGCATCTCCTACTGGGAATACAAGACTAATAACTATGTACGGGGCAAGGTCAAGTCTCGTGAGTCGAGAGGAATCCTCGGCACTAATAAGCGTCGGAGAATATCATGGTTTGACCAGGTCACACCATGTAAAGCACCATTGAAAGCGGGGGCGAAAGCGGGGGCGAAAGCGGGGATGGTAGCGCAAAAGATGGTCAGACAACATCAAAGAATGGACGAACAGGACAATGCCAGAAATCCTGAAAGCCACCGAGGACAGATCATCTTGGAGGATGTTGTCTGTTTCTTCTGCCCTTAGGTCCCTCGACAATTTTTGCAGTTAAGTGGCTGATGATGATGATGATGATTGCTAACACACACACACACACAGATATATATATATATATATATATATATATATATATATATAACACATATACGAATGGAAAGTATATGACAACTGTCCAAATTGTGTAGCACATCTGAACTGTTGTATCTTAGAAATGATTAATGATATCTTACTGGAATTCTTCGAGGTTTTTTATAACACTATTTGGGCTCTACTTTGAGCAATAGGAATGTATAATTACTCCCTGTGCTTAACAGAAATATCGTGATGAAATCGATCATAAACGAAAATGAAAGGTTCATCATTAATCAATTATAGCTAAGTGTCTTAAGCTCAGAAAGGATTGAAAAGTTAATATATATATATATATATATATATATATATATATATATATATTCTATGATAATTTTCCAACTTATTCAAGATGATATTCATCATCTAAATTTCTAACTTTCTGTCCTGAAGTAACAAGGTGCCTCAAAGTTTCACGTATGATTTCAATCTCAAATCTTTTTTCACTACATTTTGTACTGTCATAGCTGAAACGCGTCTCTCAATTGACAAATGTCTTATGAATTGAGTTTGATAGTTTCTTATTGATCTTTTTAGCTCTAAGTTGAAATGATGATCACTCTTTCTGTCGTGACCTCCTGAACCATGTGTGTATATGTATGTGTATACTAATTCCTAATAACATGACAGTATGTGTGTGTGTATGGAAGGAGAATATACATCATATTACGCAAAGTTCATAATCCTCTCCTCCAAAACTGAGATTCTGAGATTCACGAAGAGTAACTCCACTTGTTACGGAATTAAATTGATGCATTGATATATTTTTTAATTTAAATAAATTCAGTTTTACAACAATTCTCTTCATTACTATTATTGTCCTACAACTTGCTAAATATTTTAAAATGCAGGCTATCATAAAAATGCTACTTTCTACTGATTGGTCTACCGTTCTCTTTGGAATATATTTCTATAGCAAGGCCGCGCATATTCAAAGTGCGTGTATGAAATTAGATGCTAAAATTGAGGGGTGGAGCTAAATCGGGATATTAGGCCTTAGAGATTCCTGGTTTTATTGGTTTATTAGAACATACACACAGACATATATATATATATATATATATATATATATATATATATATATATATATATATATATATAGTGAGATGAATGCAAATGCATGCCTTAATGACGAAATAGTAAATCGGATCGCCAATGCGTTTGGGAAGCTTCGACACCAGCAATGGAATGAAAGAAACACTAAAATACGGATTTATAGAGCAGCGGTTTTGGTCAAACTGGCAACATCTCTAGACTAATCCCAGTAACTTGTCAGCCGTTTCTCTGATGCATAGAAAAAATGTGACCTTACCATTAGCCAAAAAAAAACGGAGTTAATCCACC